CTTCCGAGGAGTGGCTGGTGGGTTTGAACCACCAGCCTTCTGGTTAGCAGTCAAGTGCCTTAGGCACTACGCTACCAGAGCTCCTCCACTGTCAAGTAGGCAATGTTAAATGACCATTGTATTCTAAACATTTAGAATTAATCAGGCATGTATCATGTATCTAAACCTCTAAATCAGGTGTAATTTTTGAATGAACAGGAGCTCTGTTGGTGTGGTTAAGGCACTTGGCTGCTAACCAGAAGGTTGGCAGTTCAAACCCACCAGCTGCTCCGTGGGAGGGAGATGAGGCAGTCTCCTTCCATAAAGATTTACAGCCTTGGAAACCCAATGGGAGTTGTTATTGAGTCAGAATTGACTCAGTGCCAGTGGGTTTGGTTTTTTTATTTAATCTTCGAATGAAAGGAGCCCTGGTGGTGCATTGGTTAAGTGCTAGGCTGCTGACCAAAAGATCGGTAGTTCGAAGCCACCAGCCATTCCTAGGAGAAAGATGTGGCAGTTTGCTTCCATAAAAATTTGCAGCCTAAGAAACCTCTATAGGGCAGTTCTACTCTGCGCTGTAGGGTCACTATGCTTTGGAATTGACTCAGTGACATTGGGTTTTTTGTTTGTTTTGTTTTTTGGTGATCTTTGAATGTGCTAATGTATGACTTTGCATTATTAGAACAGCAGAGGAAACTCTTCTCATTCTATTTGTTAGGAGCTGTATACTGAAACCTTGGGTACCTGCATAGATTTCCAGGTCGTGCCAGGCTGTGGTATTAGCTGTAAAGTCACCAATATTGAAGGCTTGCTGCATAAGAATAACTGGAAGATAGAAGAAAATAATATTAAAAATGCATCCCTGGTTCAAATTGATGCAAGTAATGAACAGTCATCAACTTCATCTTCCATGATTATTGATGCCCAATCAAGTAAGTAAATTTTCTTTATAATACAAGTTATGAGGAAAATATGGATACATGGCTAACTTTATAACCCTGAATATAAGAATAAAAAATAGACACTATAATTTTTATTCTCTGAAATCAATTCCATTGTAGATCATCTTTACTTTACTCACATCACTAGAGAATACTTCCCAACTGTGCTCTTGGATACCACTACAGGGGGATGAGGTCTAGCCATTAGGTAAACATTAATCCTTCTATTTCTCACCACAGCTACCCCAAACCTTTTACGTCTTTCACAAGATCTTATGACTTTCTCCCTAACCTACTCAGCAAGTTACCTTTCTTATTTTTATATAGAAAATTAATATTTTCCGGCATGTATTTTAATTTTTTTGTCAGAGAATTATTCTCTTTTAGGGGAAGAAGTATCAATCATCTTGCCTAATGAATTTCTTCGTCTTTGCTGGAGATCCCATCTTCTCTTAACTCCTCTGAGACTTTACTCTCTCAGTTCTGTCCCCTTGCTTCTGTTTTTCTTTCTTTTATTGTGATAAAATGTATATAACATAAAATTTACCATTTTAACCATTAAGTACATTTACAGTGTTGTGTTATCATCACCATTATCCAGACTTTTTTTGTGTGTCACCCTCACAGAAACCCATTAAGAAATAACTCCCTATTTTCCTCTTCCCCTGCCCTGCCCTTGGTAACCTCTAGTCTACTTCAAGAAACAAAAATTTATTGTGATTTGGGTGCAAATTTACAAAGCAGATTCCTTTTACTCTCAACAGTTCATGAACATTTGGTTTCATAGCCTTGATTACAATCCCAACAATAAAGTGCACTCCTCACATCTCCTCCCTGCGACTACCGCTTCCCTGTGTCCTTATCTATGCATTCCTGTCTGTCCAGCTTTCCTGCTATGCAAATGCTGCTCTTCTGATGTCTCATGGTTGGATTGATGTAAAAGGTACATCTCCCTAGGGTAGGTGGGTGCATCTCAGTTGGTAGGTGTTCTGCTTGTAGGCCTTCCTACTGTTTGGCTGAGAGTTAATCCATAGAAGTGAGTCCAGTTCCATGCCCAGGATAACCTGGGGCCATAGTCTCGGGGATTCCACCAGTCCCTGTTTGACCAGTAATTCTGGTCATTTTTGTGTTTTTGAGTTTTGTTCCACATTTTTCCCTCCCACTCTATCCAGGTTCTCCAGTTTTGATCCCTTTCTGACTGGTTGGCCTTGGTAGCTGGGCTCTGTTTAGTTTTTCCAGTCTCAGGGTCGTGAAGGCTGAGGTTCTTGTGATCCATAATACCCTTGGATTAATTGTTTCCATATGACTTTGATTTTCTTCACTCTTCTTTGCTCTAGACAAGGACAGACCAGTAATTGTATCCTAGATGACTCTCGAAAGCTTTTAAGACCCCAGTCACTACACACCAAAGTAGGATGTAGAACAAGATTTTTTATGCTATGTTGTGCCAATTGAGCTTGATGTCCCCTTAGACCATGGTCCTGAGCCTGCAGGCCTGGTGACTCTCTCCATCAAGGTGCTTGGCTGTCACTGTGAAGCTACTCTAACCTTGTTCCCTGTTACTTCTATAATGTATTATAGATATTTTTGTAGCACAAATGCACATGTAAGAATATCATCAGCTCTATCTATCTGTGGTCATGGGTATATTCCTGTTCACCCACCCACACCTTATCTTCTCACCTGTCTATGCATTTACCTATAGACTAGAGTTTGTTGTTACTGTAATGCAGTATTGTGTATGTAATAGTATTTGCCTCTGTTGTCTGTATCTTTTGTGTCTAAGGCGATTCTCCTGTGACAGCATATTGATGGGTCATGTTTTCTTATCCAGTCTACAACTCTCCCGTCTCTTGAGCAGTGCATTTAATCCAGTGACATTCTGTGTAATTATTGACAAGTATGAATTTGTTGCTGTTATTTTGTTATGTATTTTTTCGTGGTAATGCTGATTTCTTTGTTCCATATAATTTTCTGTGCTGAGCTCATTTTGTTTGTGAGTTGTGTTATCACTTCCTTCATTGCTGTTGTTTTAATATTTGCTAAATATTTGTGTTTTCCCTCTTTTTCATTTTGATGAGAAGTTAGTTTATCATTTTTCTTTGAGGTTATTCTGTGCTTGAACAATTTCTCTTAGAAAGATCAGCACAAGGCCCGTCCCCATGAGGTGGAGGTTAAAGATGTCCCAAATGTCCAAACTACTATGTCCCTCCATCATTTCAGACGTTAACTCGTCTTCCTCCTCTCAGGAATCTCCCCCATTTTAGGGTTCTGTATTTCACTGTAATGCCTCACAGAACTCACAGACACCCAAGGGATTGTCTCATGTAGTGGTGGTGGAGGCTGGGAGGCTGGCAGGCTGGCAAGTCCCAGGTCTGTAAGTAGGTTTGGAGTATCCTCCCAATTCTTGGGGTTTGATGAGCCTCCATCAGCAGATCAGATGACAACTGTGGTCCCAAATCCAGGAGTGAGATGACGATGAGCCAAAACGCAGAACCAGGGCAAGAGGAGGGTGAACCTTACCAGAAGATTCATAGGTATACCCTCAAGGAAGCTAAGGGTGGTGATTTGAGTTATACCCTCCAGCAAGGCAGGACTCAAGATATACCCCACCTGTGGTGGTACAACAGAAATAACCCAAGTGGATGGTTTTAATAATCAGCAGCTACTCAGTTACTCATGGCAAATCCCACCACAGAGCCAACTGCGAGTCATTATAAGGAATGACTACTACCAACTGCCTAGCCATGTTGACACCGGACCTTTATTTACCACACCACCCCAAATAGGCATGGATAATAGCATTTACAATATATTGGAAAATGGAGGACAATGGCTAGAAGGGCCACATCAAGCATTTCACCACATTCTGTGATTTATAATTTGTTCCCAAGTTTAGAACAGTCCATTCTATCTTGCAATTGTCTTGACTTCCTCGCCATTTAGAAAATCTGTAACTGCACTATGTTTTTCCTTTCTTTTTGGTTTGTAGTTGTCCTCATTTGCCAATTGATATCTCTTGTTCCCTATTTATAATTTTGTAAGCTTACCTACTTTGGATACTTCAGTAACTGGGTTGGTTTATGGGTTATATCATGTGTGCTAATGGTTGGTTGTTGTTTCCTGTTGTTGGTTCTCTGTCCATAGGACTTCCTTTAGCATCTCCTGTAAGGTTGGTCTGGTTTTAACACATTCCTTTAATTTTTGCTTATCTGGAAATGTCCTAATTTCACCATCATATTTGAGGGACAGTTTTGCCACTTATATAATTCTTGGCTAGAAATTTTTTCTTTCAGAGTTTTATATATACCATCCCATTGCCTTCTTGCCTGCATGGTTTCTGCTGAGAAATCAGAGCTTAGTCTTTTGGTTGCCCTTTGTGGGTAACTTTTCATTTTCTCCATGCTGCTTTCAGCATTCTTTCTTTGTCTTTGGTTTTGGTGAGTTTGATGGTGATACATATGTCTTGGTGATTTTCTTTGGGATCTATCCTGTTTGGGGTTTGTTGGACTTCTTGAATGGATATATTCTCATCTTTCATCATAGCAGGAAAATTCTCTTCCAACAAATCTTTGACAATTTTTTCTGTTGTTTTAATTGTCTCTTCCTGTTCTGGAATTCTGATTCCACATAGGTTATTCCTTTTGATGGTATCCTACATGAACCTTAGGCTTTCTTCGTTTCATTTTTATCTTTTTTTAATTTTTTTTGATTGATCGCTTTCCAAAGAAGTATTGAGGTACTTGCCTTCAGTCTCACTAATTTTATATTCCATTGATTCAATTCTACTCATTTGCCCATTCATCGTCTTACCTATTTCTGAAAATTTAGTATTAATCTTCTGGATTTCTGTGTGTAGATTTTGTATCATTTCTAATTTTTCATTTACTTTGTCA